CAACAAAACCCCTAATTATTGTACAGTACAATTGACATCTACATAAAACGATGATAAATAACATTTAAGGCCCTTTGTAAATCCACTGCTGGATGAAGGCCACCCCATACTTCATGGCACATCAATTGCCGGTGCTGTCAGCTGTGTTTGGACAAGTGTATGATATATTAAACATACACTGCCATGATCGGTTATTTGGGAGATGACAATACATTGAGATGGCATTTCTCATGCAAGAGAGACCATAGAGAAAATTCATTTTCAAAAGATAGTACTGTCTAACCCAATAGAAACACGTTTAGAGAAAATTATATCTGAAATGCATGTACCTGGTGGCAGATAGGGACGGTACTGTAATACATGGCTGAGAATTTAATTTATTGCATTTAAAAGCATGCGCTGATGGCCAGCAGTCGAGAATAATGGTGGAGTGGCAACCAAAGAAGTGAATACGCCCGAGAAGATGTCTACTGTTGAGACTGAGCGATACAATCAGCTCATTTGCATGGATGAATTGATGCGTCGCAAGACCACGAGAGAGATGGCATTGGCATGGGGGCCCTTCAATCAGCAGGGGCTAGATCATGGCTGATGATGATTGATTAAAGAGGAAAAAAAACTGTTTATGAAAATACTGTGCAGTGGACTTTGCATCGGCTTCTCAAGTCTCATTTGTGTTTGAGATGTTGTTATTGCAGAGCGTTCAAAAACATTATAGTGGCTTTAAGTTACAGCATGTGACTCTTGGCCAAGTGTTGGATCACCCAGGAAAACATTCAGTTGTCAAATACATAAATACAGTCCACGTGGGCCAGGGATTCACAAACTGGGTCACATTTCCTGTTGGCACAGTTGCAAATAGAAGTAAACAATCACTAGCAGCTATTGTTAATCCACTGCTGGATTAACGCCAATTATTGTACAGTATTGTACAGAGTGGTCCAGGTGTCTTGTGACCCCCATTTAATTGTCTAAAATTTTATCATTTTAAGTAATATTTTATTTAAAACACAAATTAATATACAAAGGAATGAAAAATCCTAAGAATATAAAAATATGGGTCGATTAATTGTAGTTCACGACATCAGGACCACGCTGTATATACTTTTTGTCACATTTAAATCGGTTGCCAAAAACTGTACACGTTAGATAGGGTTACACGACTGTACAGTACTGCATTTACAAAAGGGTGCACACATACCTCCAGGCTTGGGGAACGTTACTCCATCACCAAGACTCTTGACCAATGCAATGATATACAAGCCCAGAAAATGTGAGAAATTCCAACTAGCTTTTCCAAAACTTGACTCGAAGTATAAACATGTCTTGAAAGACAAATTACAGACGCCCCATAACTTGTAGTCAAATTTTGTAAACACATTTTAGTGATATGTTACAGTACTGTAAGCACTGCACTATGGCTAATTCACCCAATGTGCCAGATCACATCAAATCTTGGAAGCTGAGCAGGTTTGACCCTGGATAGCAATTGGACACGTGACCAGCATGCTCATCAGGTTGTTGAAGGCTGAGGGGGCTACGTGGTGGGCAGCAGAGAGCAGTGGAGCATAAACCCGAACTGACCAGTTTGGTGAAGTATGGTCAAATAACTTCTATGACCTATTCGGTGTGTGGGGAGGCTCTCATCCAGCAATTAATGCCAAGGGGTTGTACATGCACATATATATCACAGAGAAGCATAGAGCATGGGCAGCCACAATTTTGTTATTACGCTCAGAAGCAGAAAGAGGAATATACATGGATCACAAAACCTAGACAAGTTGAGACATGCAATAATTTTGGATGTGAAGAAAAATAATTGCGCTTGAGTCAGGACACGTCTAGAAGGCTTTGATGATGGCCAGTGGTTGAGAATAACAATGGAGTGGCAGTCGAAAGAGGGGAACATGCCCGACTTGGGTGTCCAACGCAGAGATGGAGCAATGATGTCAGTCTGTGTGCAGAAGCTGGATATATTGTTGCATTGCGAGTTCATGAGAGATGGTTTCAATTTGAAGGGGGCTTCATTCAGGAGTTGATAGATCATGGTGAATGATGACAATGATTGGACAGTTGAATATTGCAGTATACCACAGCAGGACAATGGTTTTAAAAATTATCAGCTGATAGAAAAAGGCTGCATTTTATAAATACTACAATTTTTTTAATTCTTGAAGTATGGTATACTTTGGAACTTCATCTGAAGTGGATATACTGGTGGTAGATGCATTGGTGCAGGAGTGTTCTATAAAGCCACTCTGTACGTGTACAGTATTTATGTAGACCACACTAGCGGTGGTAGTGGCCATGGTTGAGGGTTGCCGTGGTGATGGTGTTTGGGGGCTTTGTAATGGTGGTATAGGCTACAGAATTGTGGACCAGTGGTGGGCTAATGAGAGAGTTTTGTGGTTGTATAAGTTGTCTAACCCCCCAAAAACCTGTAATATGCATGATATTGGTCGCGAAAGCCTACGTATTAAACTATATAAGTTGTGTTGGTTAGCTCACGGTAGTAGTGGTGGTTAGGCTAGAGGCATAGTGATGCTACTGTGACTGCTAAAAACTAGCGGTGGCTGAGGTGGAGGATCATGGTAGCAGTGGCGTGGTTATTGAGTGTGCAGGTGGTGCAACTGCGCTGAGGTCTGTGGGCCGAACAAGTCCAAGCATTGGGCTAAACATATGGGGAAATTAAACGGGAGGTGGGGGGGGGGCAATTGAATTCCTTGCACCAGGGCCCATGCCAACCACACCACTGGATGGTAGTGGTGTTGTGGCCTAATTGTGGTGGTATAAGTCAAGGGCTGTTGTGGTGGTGTTGCAGTAGTAAGAGTGGGAAAAAGGTGGATGCTTATATTTGTGTTTTTAGTGTTGAGGCGGGTGCTGATGAAACGCATGGAGGATTATGAGACTTGAAGCGGTGGTGTTGGATCTGGTGATGATGGTGTTCGTGGTAATGCTGGATGCCTAGAAGATTTTTCGTGATGATGTTTGGGATGGTCGCAGTACTGGTGTATTGTGACTGAATTTGCAGGAACTTGCATCACAGAACTACCAGGGCCAGGTTGATGAATCTTGGCTATCAGAAAACCAGAGCAGAAATGATCCATCCCAGGACCTCTCCTCCCCTTATACATTGATACATACAGGCACACAGTCCCCCAACCATCACTACCAAAATATACAGTACTGTACGTTATTGTTCTCATTAAAACCCTAATATGGATGATGTATTCTTTTCGTCGTCCCTGGCCCCTCTTCCGAGTTTTGGGCCCTGGTCCAAACCGACTGCTTGAGCTTGTTTAAAGGATGGGGAGGATGGCACAGCAGTCGGTGATAAACTTTCAACAAACGTTAAATGCTGAATCGAATGTGTAACGATGCAATCTACTTGCGTCAATTGTGAATTCTGAAAAATAGCAAAAGCTAATGATTCGTTTTATTGTGCCGTTTAGACAAATTGCATCTTACAATCACCGAGGAACCACAGACGAGCTTTGAAGGCTGCCGGGCAGTGAACCCTATGCCAACAAATCGCTCTGCAGTTCTCTATATATTGAGATGTTTTTTTTTTGCCAATTCGTGAGCGTTTATACATGTGGGAAGACATCGGAGCACCCGGAGAAACCCCCACACATGTGAGAGGGGCAACACTATCTATCCCTAGCGCTCATCCCCTATTAAAGCGGGGAAAGGCTGAGACCCATTTCTTTATAGGAGCATTTTTGTTACTTGAATATAAGACTTTGGGTGGGGGGCTGAGACTTCAGCAGTGTTCTTGCTTGGCCCCCCCAATTACAAAATCCGACCGTCAATATTGCTGACAGCAGGGCCGGTTGATTTGAAATATCGTAAAAGAAAAGTTAACATGTGAGCAATACGAAGTTCAAGTTCATTTATTGGGTATAGCCCTGTGAGCCATTCGGCTCTTGAATCGGGTGCAACCGCAACAAACAAAAAACATGAACAAGAAAACATCTTAAAGTGACTATGTGCAAACAGAAAATCCAAGACTACTACCACTCTGTGCGTCTCCATCGCCCTGCAGGGCCTTCCAGAACAACAATATCCCGCAGAAATTGAGTCAGCAGAGCAATGATGGCGAGTATGTCTGTGTGTGTAAGATATTCCGTGGGGAGCGGTGGTGGAGCTGTTAGCGCGCTGCCACCACCACTGGGGGAGACAAAGGCGGCCGGGCGTGGTGCTGGCCACCCCCCCCCCCTCGTGCACCGTGCTCACTAACAGCACTTGCCCCAACCAGTCTGTAAAGGCTACACGGGGAGGGGATCCTTTGTCTTTGGTGTGTAGAGCTCCCGTGTGGATGGAGGAGGATTGAGAAGGAGGATGGAGGAGGAGAGAATGGGGGAGGAGGAGGAGGGGGGAGGAGGAGGAAGAGAGAATGGGGGAGGAGGGAGGGGGGGAGGAGAGAGAGGGGATGGGGGAGGAGGATGGAGGAGGGGGGAGGAGGATGGAGGAGGGGAGAATGGGGGAGGAGGGAGAGGGAATGGGGGAGGAGGAGGAGGAAGAGAGAATGGGGGAGGAGGAGGATGGAGGAGGGGGGAGAATGGGGGAGGAGGGGGGAGGATGGAGGAGGAGGGGGGAGGATGGAGGAGGAGGATGGAGGAGGAGAGGATGGGGGAGGAGGGAGAGGGAATGGGGGAGGAGAGAATGGGGGAGGAGGAGGATGGAGGAGGGGGGAGAATGGGGGAGGAGGGAGAGGGAATGGGGGAGGAGAGGATGGTGGAGGAGGGGAGGGAATGGGGGAGGAGGATGGAGGAGGAGAGAATGGGGGAGGAGGGAGAGGGAATGGGGGAGGAGGAGGATGGAGGAGGGGGGAGAATGGGGGAGGAGGGAGAGGGAATGGGGGAGGAGGAGGATGGAGGAGGGGGGAGAATGGGGGAGGAGGGAGAGGGAATGGGGGAGGAGGGAGGGGGGGAGGAGGTTTCGCTGAGGGAGGAACGAGCAACTGGGTTGGGGTGTTTTAGCATCCAGCCACGGGTGGAAGGGGAGGACACAACGCCGGCAGCTGCTGGCAGGACACGAGTGTTGAGGCACAGAGAGACAGAGAGACAGCAGGGAGACAGAGACAGGGAGAGAGAGACACAGAGAGTGAGACGTACAGAAGGACAGAGACAGACAGGCAGGCGGCATGGCAGGGAGCGGGGGGCACCGGGTCCTGGTCGCCCTGGGGGAGCTGTGCGACCCCGGGCAGCTGCACGCTGCCCTGGCCGACGTGGAGAGCGGTGAGATTGGGGGGCTGTCAGGGACCCCCACGAACCCTCACTAACCTCCAGTGCTGTCTGTGCTGTGTGTGTCTGCGAGCTCCTATTAAAGGACGCGTGTTGGTGTGTTACCTACCCCCTGCCGTGTCAAGCTGTGGCGGGGCGTTAACCTAGAACGTCGGACTTGCACGCCTACCACTAACACACACACACGTGTGTACCACCCTGATACTTCACTGTACACGCAGTATTTGTGTAATGATCCAGCATTGTTTGCGAGCACCTGTTAATGTCTTTAGGGTTGGGGGGGTGTTGACATTGCAAACACGAACAGTGCGCCGTGTACAGCAGCAGCAGCAGTGCAGACAACGTGGTGGTGTACAAGCTCGTTGTATGTTATAGACTATGTTATATAGACTGTATAGATACTGTATAGACTATATTAGACTGTATATTATATAGACTTATAGTACAGACTGTATAGATACTGTATAGATACTATATTATAGACTTTGTTATAGACTGTATATTATATACTGTACATACTGTATATATACTGTACATTATATTTATATACTGTATGTTATAGACTGTATATATACTGTACATACCGTATATAGACTTTACATGATATCTATATACTGTATGTTATAGACTGTATATATACTGTATAGACTATATGACACTATATAGACTGTACATTTTAGAGACTGTATATAGACTGTATGTAAACTATGGACTACATTATAGACTGTATATTATATACTATATTATAGAATGTATAGGATGTATTACAGACGGTATATATACTGTATAGATACTGTATGCAGACTATATTATAGACTGTATACTATAGACTGTATATACTACATTATATACTGTATAGATACTGTATGTAGACTATATTATAGACTGTATACTATAAACTGTATATACTACATTATAGACTGTATATAGATTGTATATTATAGACTGTATAGACTATGTTATGGACTACATTATAGACTTTATATAGACTGTATATAGACTGTATATATACTGTATGTGTGTGTGTGGTGTATCGTTACGAGCACGACTATTGACCCGAGTTCGATTCCCGCTCGCGGCCCCCAAACGCCACCGGTGACGATTCTCTGAACCGGTCCTGATCCTCCTCCCCTAGGTCGACTCGGCCTCAAATGCGTACCTGATGCGCTGTGTAGTGAACATCGCCACTGGGGAGGGGGGGGGGTAGGGGAGAGACAAAGGCGGCCGGGCGTGGTTGCTGACCCAACCCCCTTCTCGTGTGCCGTGGGGACCTTAATAGGTGCTCGCTAACATCACTGCCCCCCCCAACACTCTCGTTACATGCAACACATGTTGTCGTGCCGCTGCATGAGACGTAGGGGGGGGCACGATGGTTTGCGAGCGCCTATTAAGGTAACAACAACTCCACTGTGTGGAGTGGTTGCATCTGTTTAATGTTGTTGAAGGCACACCCACCGGCTAACATTGTGACTTGTCTATGCTGTAAAGTACTGTAGGTCATTGTATGGTGATAAAGTTTGTTGTGCTGTGTGGGTGAAGTGTTGTTTATGAGAGCATCTATTAATGTGGTGGTCTATTACATTTTGAGGTCAGTGGTAATGTCACGGCTTGAAACAGAGATAACAAAACAATATCAACAGTTTTCCTCCTCTTCTTCAGACTGTGAGATGGGCTCGTAAAGACGACGGTATGAATGGGGGGAGAATGTATCTTTGTTCACTTTGTGTAGAGTTTGTTTTAACTTTAGTTGTTGCATTGTATGGGCAATTGTGTGGTCGTCAGCTGATGAGGTTTCGAAGTAATCTTTGGTGAAGTTTTTGTCCTGGAAATTGAGATTAAAGTGTTCTCAAAACTTGTTGATCGTGTTTACACAAAGCGTTATAATGCATTACATCACACACAATAGTAAATGCCTTCCTGTGTGGTGTTTTATTCCATACTTTGTATTTTTGCACGTGTGTGTGTGTGTGTTCCGGAACACAACAGCACAAACCATGTGTTTCGTGTCGAAGTTTGTGTTTGCAAAACTTTTTTCTCTCTCTATGTATCAACAACCACAAACAATGAAATGCGCCCAGCAACGAAGTGTCACTTTTACGAACGTGGCTTTTAAAATAAACGCGAGGAAAAAAATTGACCCCCAAAATAAAGTGGCTTTGAAAGTTGCCAGTAAACCACCACCACCACCACCCCCTGCCTGGCACCTGCCTGGCACTTAAACTTGTATTGGACTTAAACACCGTGTTTTTATTTGTTGCACCAAGTTGGTTACGTTGCTGAATGCCACCACGCCTTCTCGTCGTCTTCCAAGCAAGGCGATCGCTGGCCCCGTTGTTTTGTATTTGAATTTTGAACTGCCGCTGCCAACAATGGGAGAAGCCAAATGAGTGGTTACAGATTTGGCCGCAGTTGAGTGGTGATGGTGGTGGGGGATGGAGAAACCGTAGGGGCTGGTGGGCAGAAAGGGGCCCATTCCTCTCGACCATCCATCCCGGCTTAACAAGAGCCACCACCACCATCATCACCATCAAACATCCACCATCACCATCAAACCATCATCACCATCACCACCACCACCATCATCACCATCAAACCATCACCATCAAACCATCATCACCATCAAACCACCACCATCACCACCACCATCATCACCATCAAACCATCACGATCAAACCACCAGGCACAAACTTCCCTCCATCGCCGCTTCATCCCTGCAATGAGGGCTTTAATTTAATGGATCCATTATATTTTGATTTTAAGCTTTCGTGACTGCAGGGATTCATATTCTTGGTTCTTTCGGTAAAGTCACGTAGAAGGGAAACGATTAAATACAAAGATATTTTATATATAAAATTATTTTTTTATTTTTTATATAAATACTAATATATATTTTTCTTATTTTATTGTTTCCCTTCTATGTGACTTTACCGAAAGAACCAAGAATATAGATCCATTATAATTGGGATGCATCCTTATGGATAAACGTGCGCGGGTTTGCCCTGGGTGGTGGCTTTAGAATCTCATTGGTAGAGTAATATTTTGAGGAGGGCAGCTGATTATGCACGTATGTTGAACTTCTTTCGCACCGTACGTAGCCAATCGTGCTTATCGGAGGTGCCTCGCTGAGCCTCACGACTCTTTCATTGAAGCGGCACTGTTGAAATGTTTCTCGTGTGCAATTATGAATGGCGTACGTTGCGAATCGCTTCCCTTTTCCATTCTGGTTTCGAGAAACTGACTTTTGCGGTAGGCGTTTCCTACCATCTACTACTGTACAGGACTAAAATTGGCACAGCTGCGGTGTTATCCGAATGATAAGCCACAGTTTTTTTCTCCACTGCAACTTTAAAGTAAAAGTTTGTAGCCGCATCTTATAGGCTGGAGGGTACGTGTGCGAGATGTGATCAGATGTGTGTCATTTTATTGACGCAGGGCACAATGCTTGGCATGGTTGTTACTTTCTGAATCATCTTATAATTTTTATGATCTGGTAAGTCGCCAAGGAAATAAGAGTATTAGTCTTATGTTGCCCATTAGACCTTATTGTTTGTACTTTCATGGATTACCTTTTGAATCATTCCTTAAATTCATGTTTTGCTGTGCAGACCATTTTGCCAGTGAACTCAATTGTTTTCATAGAACTGGTGCACATGCCCTTTGCGCTCCTCGAGTGAAAATCAATCAGTTGATCAATCAAGACCATCATTCACAACTATGTAAATTCCCATTGAGATGAAGTATTTGGTTGGAAGGTGGGACTTCGGGGAAAATATGCATTCTCAATATTTGTTTTCAAGTCGGTGACAAATTGTATTGGGAGAGCCAAGGAAAACATACCAGTGTGGCACTTAATTCAGGTAATAATTTATCAGTAAAAGCCTCACTGAGCCTCAAGACTGCCTTGAATGTTTGCTTGATTATCTGTGCACATGGGAGGAAACTGGAATGTCTAGGAGGGGTAAAAAAAACTACGCAAAAAGCGGATAATACTCAATCCCAAATTAATAGGTCATACACCTACAGGCATATCGGTGCCCTCTAGAGGTGTATGTCACGCACAATGCGTCAAAAGTATGTTGCAGGCAAAAAAAACGCCATGTGAAATCATGTACATCAAAATAATGAATGCACTAATAAAGAATGATGTGTCCGGCAGCAATCTCCTCACGGCATAATGGCATTCAGCAAACAAGGCAGCCATGCTCAGTCTAAAGAATATTTTTTTACTTCAGCAGACTCCTGCAGTGGAATGTTTGGCCAATTCTATTCATTAATACGCATTGCGTGTGCGAGCAAAAAATGGGGAACTTAGAGGAAATCCATGCATACAAAGGGGGTAATACTCAAACTTATACCGGGATAGAATTAAGAATCCATTGATAGAATGCTATGACTGACTCCCACTCCCCTACTTTCTTTTGAGTTTTTATATTCATATACAACTTTTAAAGTAGAAAACATATGAATATTTGAACAGGTATATTACCTGGTATGTTGAAGTATTTATGGATTGTCATTTGGCAATGACATCGCATGGCTCAGAATCGCTTGGACTGTGATTAGGCTGAATGGGAACAATGTGCCCTGCCCCTATGCATTGGGTCAATTTTGGCCATTTCACTGAGCATATGAGTCGTCCTACCTACACAGGCAACTTGCAAGCAGATACAAGTGTCCTTCCTAGTGAAAGCCCTTCCACAGGTGGAGATTGCTTAGAACGTATGAAGTGAAGGGCAGTTGTGTTTTGGATTGTGGGCTGCCAAGCGAACGCTTGAGTATACTGCAGCTGCTGTGACAGCTCTCATTGGCAAGGGAATGCCATTGCAGTGCTATCTGCCTGGTCTCCGTCGCCTGTCTTTTCAAGTCGTATCTATTTACTGAATGGGAGCAGATGGCTGCAAATGTCTGTTTGATATACCGAGTCTGTGCCGTCTTTATTTAGCTCATTATTTGATTCACTTCCTTACCTCCTGTTGATGGCTAATGATTCACGGTCTGTAGTTCCATGCGGGTTTTTCCTCGTATTATTTTGGCAATGCATCATTGATTCAACATTGTTTTATTCCTGGTACGTGTATTGGCCCATTACATTTTTGGCTCGTTTAATAATTGCAGGGCGCTATGAATTTTTTCAACAAGTGAAAATATGTTGCTTTTTTCCCATATTTCCCCACACTTGCAAGGTTTAGGCCACTTGACTCGAACACTCTTTAGAACGCTGCCAAACACTCGCCTGTCCCCTCGCCCATTATCCACTCACCGACTCATTCATTCCCTTCCTACTCTGTGACTCTTTCCGTGCTTTCACCCCTGACTGCTCATTCTCGAGACTTATCTTTCAACACTTCTTTTTTATATAGCGGTGATTGTTTTTGACTCGCCCACTTTATAACCAACGCTTCACAAGTTTATTTGTAGATGTTACCACAAAAAAGCTGGTATTATTGTGGGATATTTTTGCAGACAAAGTAATCGAGCACCCAATGAACCGTTAACTGTAGTTAAAAATCCCACGTGGTTTTCTCTAAAATACTATTTCTGTGCCCATGACAACCACAATAGGCCTCTTGTGACTTTGCTGCATATTTTATAAAACGGAAAATCAGCAGTTTCTTTATCATCTGGGCTTTCTGTATAAAAAGCTTCGGAATGAAGCAATTTATAAAACAAGTGGAATGCTGTTTGGTTTGTCAGGATGATCATGAAACAAATATCATATGCTGTATTTAATAACACAGAATTTCAGTTTAAATGTTCATTACGATTCATACCAAAAATGAAGTGTCGATTGTGCACTATATACCGGCGTTACAAAATGCATGCTTTATGCTATGTACAGTGGATGGACAAAGCTCCATGGCCATTTTAGTGAGCAGCAAAGTCGTGTGTTTGGTGTGTTTATACAAGTGGATTGGAGATTACTCACAGCTGACGCACACTTGGATAGTCAGATGGGCCCCTTTCTACTCACTGGGAGCTGGCTCTTCAGCTCTATAACCCGGGCCGCGTGTCTGAACGTTCACTCATACATGGTACGCGCATACGCTTAGACTCTCTAACACGCACCTCACTGTTGACTGTTGAGACATTCGTCATAGTGTCACATGTGGCTGGATAACAGTGGTGGCCTGTGTTTTAGTCTTCTAAAGCAAAAACTGCAAATGATTTGCAATGCTGCCTAGCCGCATGTGTGAGAGGGTGGTTGCATTTTATAACGTGTTTTTTTTCATGCAGTCTGGTGGCAGGGAAGCATTAGCGGTCGCGTTGTTGTGCAGTAAATTCCAGCGTCACTGGTCCAGTCGTTCATTCAGCGCCAGAGGTGGAGAACCTTTTCCTTACCGAGGGTCGAGTGGGACTTGCGAATACCCTTGGCGGGCTACACAATAATGTACTTCCATCTCCGTCACTCCTGTCACTGCGTTGACAGAGGTGGCTAATCATGCTTAAATTATAAACACGAATCCTGGTTAAAAATATCCCCCCCCCCCCACCGAGTAACTGATCAGTGCTGCTTTTAGGTGCTTGCAGTGAAGGATGAATATTGTTTGCAGCCAATTTCCAGAGTGATACGCCTTCTGTGGCCGTTGGTCATATGAAATTAAGTTGAGGGCCATATCTGGTCCTTGGACTGTAGGTTTTCCACCCCTCGCTTAAAGCCATGACACTATATTTTGCATAGCTACTGCATCTCACAGCCCTCTGTGAGTTTGATGGAGAAATTGATGCAGCTGTTTGGTCTGCTTGCGGAGGATTGTATATATCCCACGACACCATTTTCAAGACTGGGCTATTTGTGTGTCCATTCCATGGCCAGAGACTCCTGCCAAGTAAAAAAAACAGGCTGTCCTTGTAAGCGCACTGTATGATGGGTAAAACCAACGGAGGATAAACACATGCTAGAGACAAACATGGTAAATATAAGAAAGCAGCACTAGTGCCTTACCATTTGCAGAATGTTATTCCATCTTATACTTGGAACTTACATGCACCGGAACACACGCATATACAATGGCATGCCTGTGCTGAGCTTAATTCGTGCTAATAACATTTGACAGATTATATGTTTGTAATTGCTGTAGCCACTGCAGTAACAACATTGGGAGTGTGTAATTTACAATTAATCGCGGGCTGTTTTCTACCGTAATTACCAAACACTTTCATTACATTATAAATACAGTAAATAAACTGCTTTCTGAAGTCTCAGCCCATAATTCCTGCAACAGTGAGTGGTGCAATGACCCGCAAACAAGCATTGAAGAACTGAGGACAGGTCCCACATATACAATGAGTACCACTATTGCGGGACATCAACAGTTGGTGTGTATGGAAATACTGGTCACCACCATAGGAATGTGGCCCTGCCACCACTGACTTGAAGACCACCAGTGGAGAAAATCACTTTCCAACACTTGTATGACGATAGCAATACGTTGACTTTAGATATTGAAGAAGTGGTAACCCATGCGATGTTAGTTCTTATCTGTTTTCTGTGGTTCGTGTGATAGAGCCGATGACCATTCACTCTGCAGCGTAGTGGTAGATACTGACTTGTACAATTAACTCTCGATTATCTGGGCACAGATTATAACCATGCTTGCAGTTTAACCGCGTTTGCGGAAAAGAGAACCAAATATCTTTAAGCTCACACTGGTTCTGTGACTAGCTGCTCCTCACTCATCGAGGCTCAGTGACATGTGCCCATATTACCCACAGACGTATCGGAAAGTAAATTATTACTTTCAGAAGCAATAAAGAACTGAGGACCGGTTCTAAGTATTCACCTTCAATGTATGTCGGTCAACAACCGCATAATACATTTTTTTAATTAACTGTGATTTTGTTGTATCCTGGCCACCGCGGATGATGGAGAGTTGACGCTGTGTGGCAGTGCATGCGAGCGCGATGAGGAGGGGGGCGGCCCTCGTCACGGTGCTGTTTCTGTGGCGTCCCGTCGCAGGTCTCCGCTCGTGGGCCGTGGATCCCGCCGTCTGTGATCTTGATCAGCAGCTCAAGCTTTTCATCTCCCGACACTCGGCGCGCTCCTCAGCGCAGGTCAAAGGTCAGTGGGAGCAACTGGCACGTGTTTTACATATCAAAGGACCAATAGCAGTCCCCAGATCGTCTTTATTAAAAAGGCCGTGCCGTGTGTTTTGCTGGTGTAGTTGTGAACGTGTGTAGGGGTGTGTGTGTGTGTGTGTTTTTTTTTAAGTACAATTTCTATGACAGGTTTTATTTCGTGTATAATAACAGGTATAACAAAGGCGATTTTGGGGGTTCTCTATTTCCTCCAAGTAATATTCCATACAGAGTTTAATGAATTGATGGTAATAAATATAATTAATGTACAGGTAGAAGAAACTACAAATTCGAGTTGAACGATGGCATAGTGGTTTGCGCACCTCGCTGAGAACCTGGTGACCCGAGTTCGATTCTCAGCCACAGCTTCTACCATCATTGATGATTGATGTTGGAACCATTCCTATGCACCCGCTACACCAACCCGCACTGACCAATGTGGCAAAATATAGTCAAACAATGTTCACGACTGAATGTGGAGACTGCTTCATCCAGCAGTGGATAGCTAAAGGTCTCTAAGTTATTATTATTTAAAACACCGTTCTAAAATTCTATTTATGATTGTTTAGGGACATTATTTATCTTGACAGACAGAACTCTCATAAAACAGGAATTTTGAATAAAAAAGGATCTAATCACCATCAGAAATGTCATTCAATTGCTTGTGTGCATGATTTGTGTCCAAACCATGCCATGCTTTATGGAGCACAGGATTATCTGCATTTTAATCCCTAGATTCCCTACGGTATAAAATTCCTCCATATGTGTGTCGCCCACAGGCATTGCCAAGCTCTTTTTGACATATGCAACGTCTGATCCCTGCTTACATTGTGGTTTTGCTAACGTTGGATGCATAGCTCCTGCCAAAGTGGTTCATGCGTGGTAAATTTTGTCAAAGTCTAGTCCTTGTAACAATGAGGCCAAAAATACAGTAATACAAAATCACAGAGCATATAATTGCCTTAGAGAGCATGTTAATGGTCCATCTCATAATATGTTGTAAGTAGCTCTCAGTGGGGGGGAGGTGTGGATAGAGCCTGGATTTGTTTGGGAAAGGGGGAGGGCGGGATTAGAGACTTGGATCCGTTTGGTGCGTGAGGACAGTTAACGTCAGTACTAGTAGGGGTTCAGCAGTAGTATACCGCCAAGTCTGAACAACATTGTGTTGTTTGCTCTATATTGTGCTTTTGGGTTGTACCGCATCTTGTTTGGCATGATGGCCGAAGTTTTCCCATCACGTGCTCAACAGCACCTGGTACGATCTGAAAATATATCGTGAAGCTATACTGCACAACCACCACGATAACCTACCCAGTAGTGCTGTCTGGTTGTAGTTGACATTTCGAGACAGTGGTAGCTGTTGCCTTGAAAAGCCCTCTCCCAATGTCTCCCCAGTTGCAATTATCTGAGCTCCGCTGGGCACTGTGGTGGCAGTGAAGCGCTGTCCTGCCCGCGTGTAACAACTCCTGAAACATTTGGCAGTGACAAAATGGGCGGGGAGGTGGAGCGCACTGATTAAAGTGCCAAAACAAATTCGATTAAGGGATTAACGTTTTTAAATTCTGCAAATAGATAAAAATGCAATAAAATCGATGCCGTTTGACTCAGTTTAAATATCTTAATCCGATGGCATTTTTTGGGGCCAATATCAAATATGACTCAATGAAATAGCCCACCTTACCGGATGTTTTTGGGCCAATGTGCTGAATGAAGGTTGTCAATGCATGTGGTCTAAAATGGAATTTGTATGCAGCCTGAGTATTTCATGCTTTAAGTTTCAACTCCTTGCCTGAAGGTGTGGGGCCCCATTTCCTTAGGTACACAATACCTTTGTGCTGCACGTCTCAGTTTTCAGCCCTCCACAGTAGTCGTACTTTAGCCCGTAGCACAGCCACTGTTTTAGTGTCTACAGTTGTCGTGAGTTGACACAGTTGAGACAGAGTTGGTTGACGAAGGTGGTACATTTTTATTTTTACCATTATTATAACTAAAAATGTCACGGCAACCTAATGCGTTTAATGCAAGCACACTGGAGCCGCTGTTCATTAACATTACGAAACAGCATGCTACAATTGCCAATTGTGCTTGCCTGTTCCCCTTTTTATAAAAACCCTGGCCGTGCCCATGTGTGCTATGTCAAGGCAGGACCTGAAGGCGTGAAGGAGAGGCTCTGTCAAAGCAACTGCTTTCATGCTGTGACGTCCAGACGTGGTCTCGTGTTCCTTAGCTGGTTTTATGTTTGAAACCAAGCTGGCAAATGAAATTCATATTTAAAATTATATTCTGGTGTAAGTCTCTCCTTTGAAATCCTCTGTGTGTGTGTATATATATATTGGGAGAGCGGTAGTGCCCTCATTAACTGCACTGCATTATCAACCAGGGGACCCAAGAATGATTCTTGCCCATGGCCAATATCGGTGACGAATATTTGAATCGGTCCTGGGCTGTCCATAGTGTAACCATCAATACTAGGGGAGACATATGTGGCCAGGTATGGTTCTGGCCACTCATCTCCTCACGCCGTGTTTGCCGTCATAGGTGCTCGCTAACAGAAGTGACGAGATGGAGTGATAAGCTTCGCAAGAACATGTGTGATGTGATTTGGGGAAGCCTTTATCCAGTCGTGGATAGGCCTTGCCTGATGGTGGGAACACATTCCTGCGGAGGGAGCTGGTAGGAACGTTGGGTTGCTCGGTCAATGTCCAGGGTCAACAGCGGCGTGGTGTATTCCGCAAATATGGCCGACTGTGAGGGCGGGCACAAGCCGGCGTGAGTAGGTTAAACGTTGAGTTTTATAAGGGCACCACGGGGTGACCAGCCCCTCCCCACCCAGCCCCACCCCTCCCACTCCCCACCCAGCCCCTCCCCACCCTCCCCTCCCCACCCAGCCCCACCCCTCCCATTTTTGGATGCAGGACGGACGGACACAATAATCCCCTGTGGGCTGGTGTAACCAGGAGGTTCCTACCAGTATTATCCAACCTACCTATAACCTTCATTCCCTGTGCACATTAGACTGGCATTTTATCCGTGTTTTCCCAATATTATTTGGCTCTTGTGAGATGGTCCAATTATCTTGGGTTTCATCTGTTTACGGAGATGTCCACGTAACTACCTACACTGAAGACTTCCGGTGACCATGTCACTTATCTTATTTAAATGTATCCCTCTCTAACACCTGCATCGAGTTAAGGATGAGGCAAACGACTCTACTCCCTCTTAACTGTAAAGGAGAGTTATTGTTAAAAATATGAGCCTGTTATCTATATTTCTGTTCTTAGCTAGTGTTATGACAAATGTGGTGAGTGTCTTGTTATTTGTCATATGCGTGAGAAAACTCGCGCATATGAAGGGGTCACGCGCAAAGCCCCGTACAGAGACAACCACGTAAAATAATCTGTCAATGTGCACTATTTTTTTTTCCTGCGTATAACTTAAAAAATAATCAAACCAGATGGGTGGGATTCAAGTCTGGTGTGTGTTTGGTATTGTATGTCGCAGTATCGTGCATTGTACAATGCAGTGGGTAACCATGCTCCTGTTCCTGGAATGGCAACAGCCCAGTTTCCCAGTGGCTGTTGGAAAGAGGCATTCGAGGCACTAATAGTGGCCCCAGTGTTAGCGGCTACCACAAAGCACAAATACTCTGCGTGCCTAATTGGGTGCGTTTTATAATTCCGTAAAGATGTTGGTTGAACTCGTAACACAGGTGCTAAAGTGTATTTTATTTCATTCACATTTGTTAACATACGTGCATTTACTGAATATTTAATGCTGATAATATAGTATTTCTATATGCTACTGAGTGCATGTCTTTGTGCTTAGAGTGCTTGACTTGCAATTCGCAATTAGAAGTTGAATCATTCCGTGCCATCATCCTTCTGGAGTTGCTAAAATAGGCATTGCTTTCTGAAACAATTAAATGTTTTCCTTTCCACAGCTCGCATCGGTGGTGAGTAATATGTGAACCGATCTTTGGAGTCCAAATTATGCTAGCGACCGTTGATAATTGACTCAGGATGGGGATGTATGTATGTATGTTGAACTTCTTTCGCACCGTACATAGCCAACCATGCTAATCGGGGTGGGGGGGCATACACTTGCACACTGGTAGAACTGTCCCAGCTGCCCTCCCGTCACAAAGCGTTTGCAGGTCGGGGTTCAGCGCACGTCAGGCTGTCTTCATGGGAATCGGACATCTTCACTCTTAGCTCACCGGTCTAGGGATGTATTCTTCATCCAGCAGTGGCTTGCCTCAGGGCTTGTACATTTGTATGCACACACATGGACACAACAAATCTGCACTTTGTGAAATTCCTCATCTCGGCCTCATCAATCCTTCAAAAACCCTCGCCCTTGCATAGCAAAATTAAAGCCTTGGATTTTTCTTACTCTGCCATCTATCACATTTGCATCTTCAAAGTGAATAATAGGCGCGTCCCTTGGGGCTACACATTTTTCAAAATAAAATTGCATCTTGTCACTTGGCCTTACATATGTAGTGACATCGTTGGATGTCAACTTGCTGGGTGCAGTGCCGGCCCTAGAGGTACACGGCGTGCGGTGTTGCGACATCGCGGATACCACAATGGTGGGGGTGTAGTACCAGCCCTAGAGGGGCCCGTGAGCGCTGAATGATAGCTCTGGATGGCACCACGCTTTGCGTGCAGTGCCGACCCTACAGGACAGGGTGTGTGGGTGCCGGCCGAAGGATGAGGTTACTCGAGGCCATGGCACTCTGGTTGACCCGGGAGGACACGTGACCAGTTAAGTCAACAAAGGGGCCCCAGAGGGGGCTAGGGGTGGTCACGTGATTGGGATCCAGGTCCTTCCCGAGGATTCTGGAAGGTGGACGTGGCCAAGGGCGGAGCCGGCCACGCCGCAGAGAATATAGGCCGGGTCCCGAGAGGGGCCGGGGTTGTTGTTCATCCTGGAAGAAATCTTTGTCTACGTTCTCCGTTCAACGAGTCTCCAACACGTTGT